CCCCCCCCCCCCTAGAATTTTATAAATATCAGATTAAAATTGAACAGAAACCTAAAATGGGAACGAAGTCTACTGGTAAAGGCGGAATGCTTTTCAAACTTTTTTATTTTATTTTTTTCCACACAATACAAAATACAAGTCATTAAACACGCGCAGCGACTCTTTTTACGAAAATGGGACCTTGGGACACAAACATAACCACACGAATTTCGATATCTATCTATCTACTATATCTATACACCAATATAAATATATTCCATTCAAATTTAATTAAGATTTATATTATCATAGAACAGATATTATATGTGTGGACCAATTTTATTTCAAAATAACTGTAAAAATGTATAAAAAAAAATAACTGTAAAAATGTTTACATCATTTACAGAATAACGGTGACAAAAAATGTCAGTAGAATTGTGGATATTCGGGTTGATGGGCCATCTTTAAAAATTTTCAGGCCCACTAAGCATTTTAAAGCCCATTAACGTTTCTTTCTGATAAATTGGAGATGCGACGACGATCCGTTCCTCCCTTGTTTCCCTCTGTCTCGCCATGGAATGGAGGGTTATGGTGGTTTTACTTTGAATTGCGCCAGATTCCGACCAAATTTGAAGACTTGAACGCAGCCCTTTATCCGTCCTTGATGCTCTGTTCGTGGGTTCCCCATCCGACAATCAAGCAATACTTTTCCTTTGGTTTTCTTTTGCTTTGCTTCATCTTGTATCGCATGCTCTCCTCGAGTTACCGTTCTTCTTACTCTGTCAGCGCTTTTCCCGGTTGTGATTGTGCTAAGAATCGTGGGTTTTCGAGGGTTTTGGGTCGACTAGTGAGTTCGTGTCTGAAGTTTCTCGGGCATCTTAGGGTTGATTTTGCTGGAGATTCGGAATTCTGAATTCTGTCTGCGGTGTTGTTACGTTTGGGGTGAACTGCGATTGGGTCTTTTCTGCATGTGGTTCCGAATAGAAAGATGCAAATGTTGATTTGAATGGTATCAAAGCTTAAATAGGTGCTTCAATTCCATGTTTGTGAACATGATGTGATGAGAATCCGCCCAATAGATCAAGAACACATACCAGTAAAAAGAAAAACTCTTACCAATTAATACTCCAATCCATGGCGAAGCAATGGAATGAGAACGTCCATCTCATGTTTCTTGAGCGAGAAACCTAACTCCACACCACCACTTCCATCTCTACTCTCCGCCATTGATATCACTTCACCGCGATCGATCGTCACGATCTCGACTTTAACGGGTCTGCCCCACCCGAAATCCAACTCGTAATAACCCAACCGATTCGACCCGGCAACTCGTAATAACCTAAACACTAGTAATATTTTATAGCCAGAGATGACAGTGGAACAACAGCTGATTCAATTCCACATGATTATCGACTTCATATACAAATTTATTCATCACAAATCCGTAACCAAATTCATTGAAAAGGAATAAAACAGGATACTAATAATAATGCACAAAGCATCACGAAATTGTTCTACTTAGGGTAGCGTTTGCATTTATTGTAGATAGTGCAACTGGTGGCTCTTCCACGAACAGGTCCGATGCAATTCCCAGCAATCTTCGCGTTACAGACTGGACCTCTCTGATAGGTTTTAGGGTAAATATACCTCGTCGCCAGAATCCGCCGGAGCACCGCCGCATCTTGGCCGTCTTCCTCCGCCCCTGCCGCGGAACATTCTCCGGCAATGCAACTGCCCCATCCGATGGTGGCACCTCCCCCATCCGATGGTGGTATTGGTGGCGGCCGCTACCGTGAGGAGGAGGAAGAAGAAGAGGGAGAGGGAAGAGACTAATGATTTCATCTCTTTGATGGCTTTTGAGTGAAGATAAGAAGAGGGCCTTTTAATTTGAGCAAGCATAGGGTGTATAGTTATTACTTGGTTGGTACCCTGTCGGTGTTATGTCGTTATTGTCGGTTTCAATAGAAGTTTTTTTACACTAAGGTTTGAATGATAAGTGATTTTTATTTTGAGTTTTTGGTTTTTGGTTTTTGGGTTTTGTAGTTTTTACATTTTTAAAAAACTTTGGTCGGTAAAAATAATATATTTTTATTTTTGGTTTTAGATTTTATATATATCGTATTTATACTATTTCAATATATATATATATATATATATATATTCAACATTAATATGGATATCTACATATATATATATATACACAAATATATACAAATATATGTGTATATATAACTATAGATATAAGATGATTATAATATATATTTTGAACAATAAATTTTGAATTACATACCTCAAATTTTGTTTTTTATGAAACATTTTTCAATTGTGAGTTATGGTAAAAATGATAAGAATATTGTCTTTATATAGTATAATGTGAAAGTATTTTTAAAATGATGGGTATTTTTTTTTTAGAATAATTTATATAATTATTTTTTAATAAAAATAAAAAAATCTACTAACAAATCTCTAAAATCTACAAAAGATTAGTTTTTGACTTTTACGTGATTTTCTTATAAAAGTGATTTACCGAATTTTTAAGAAAAGTGAAATAAAAAAATCTTGTCTAAATGTTTTTGGTTTTTTAATCTCCAAAAATGGAAAACTCCTTTGCCTAAATTTGGTTCAGTTGCTTCAGCTCTATTTCGGATAGAATTCGCTCCGTTTATGTTTTTATTAGCAAAAAATAATACACATTTTCTTAAAAAAGTTCAGTTTTGCCGATTATTTTACTATTCAATTCAACTTCGAATTTTCAGTTTTACAGAAATTATAATCATTTGATTTTTATACCGGATTTGATTCATTATGGTTTGTTATTTAGTTCAAATCGATCCAATTTTTAGTTATTAACCAAATAATTCACCTTGAACTAATCAATCGTATAGACAAATAATTCGGATCAAGAGAAGAAAGAGGGGACGAGGGAGATCATTGGTGCCTGAACTCTAGCAACACATTCGCACATATAAAAAATGGATCAACCAATAAAAAACTAAAAGATCGAATATATATATATATATATATTGGGGTAATGTATTGGCGTCCACACTTCCTAGTTCCTATCCAACTTGTGAGTGCTCCTATGTTACGATAACCCATCTCCATGCAAATTGCCGTCGTGTGGGTCTCACCGTTCCGTGCAATAATTTAGATAATGATGACTCGCCTCGCCAATCTCTCTCTCTCTCCGTTTATAACTTTATAATATATATATATATATAGGATCATTAGATTTTTATATTAGTTTTTTTAATTCGTTTTAGTTTTACTTTTGATTGATTGAATTCAGATTCAATTTAAAATATTCATCAATTATACTCTTGTTTTTTGTTTTAATTTATTGTGTCTGATGTCACAAAAATATTACATATAATTCAATTTGTTCGAGTTCCATTATTCTCGTCCGAGAAAAAAAAAACCTCATCAGTAATGGGCCGTGGGCTTTCAGCCCAATAAGCACATGAAACTCCGAAGAAAACATATAGTTGGGTAAAAGAACGTGTCGGCTGGGAGGAATATCTAAACAAACAGTCTGTGAGGAATTCGTTATGACAGACGAACCAGAACCACGAAATACCAGTTTCTGGATTCGGAGGGAAAATGCAAGTGGACTAAATTGCCCTTCACTCAACCATCTGTTCTTTTAAAAATCTTTACAACTGGATACAGTGAAATATTCTGAATTTAAGACCGGGTTTTGAATACGACGAAAAATTAATATACTTTGACTTTTTATTCGCCTCTGCATTTCATTATATCGTATTGTTTAGTTTGTTTTTTAAAAGGACAGTCGAATAACACACAATTATGTATGTGAATTCAATATAAAAATCGAATATAAATAAATTTTATAAAACTGGAAATGTAAATTAAAAAATATGAAAATAAATAAAAACGAAATTTTATTCAGAAAATTTGTATTAATAAAAAAACATTCAAAACAAAAAATACTTATGCATAACTTTTTTTTAAATCGAAATATCTGAATACAAAAACACCGAGTCGCTACAAAACCTAAATTCGAAATCTAAACTCCACAAATGATTGAAGATATTTTTTAAAATGCAAATTTTTAATTGAGGATTTTTTAAATCTAAATCAAATTAGAATAAAGTATGAATTGAGAACTATATAAAATCAAACAGAGATAATTTTTTAAAATAAATAAATTCCAGAAGGATCCCATTTAAATATAAGTTCAATATAAAATATAAATCCTTAAATTCTAGTCAAAATTTAGAAAATAAATGAAGAAGAAAAAGGGAAACTAGGGAATATATGGAAACAAATTATTCTAAGACAAAACAAGAGGCAACGACGTCATCATCACCCACAGATTTTGTGTTAATTTAATTAATCTTCTTAATTCCGCAAAAAAAAATTACAAAAACAAAAGCAGCCCACCGAAATACACAGTGTCCTGGGTTTCGACATGTTGACATTCTTCATGGCCAAGTCAAAACATTATCCTATATACATACATATATATATATATACACCTATACTTTCTCATGCACATGCACATGCACATACATACACAAAGTACCATAATTTGAAGATTCATTTCTTGTTCTTTTTTTTGCAAAGATTACTGATAGAGAAGAAAGAGGAATCCTAAATGGGGCGTTGGATCAGGCCAGAGGTTATAATTTATTTTCTGTATATATATATAATATATATTTATATAATAGTATACGTTGAAATAGTTAATAAAATCGAATCGATTCTTTTACTAACTCAAGTTTTTCCCTTTATATTCTATTTGATTATTACAAAAAATAACACAAGTTTAATTTCTATTTATTATATATATATATATATATATATATATAAATAATCGAATTATAGATTACAAAAGACCACAATGTTAATAAATAAATGAGAGCGATCCTTCATCAATCCTATCGTTAAGACCACTTATAAATACCGAATTAATCAAATAAAATCGAACCGATTTTTTTGTTCCTTCTAATTTTTGCTTTCACACGAGAATTCACTAACCACAAGTTTTTTTTTCCTTTATATTCTATTTGATTATTACAAAAAATAAAATCAGGTATATCCACTCTTGGGAGCGATGGGATTCGTGACATCAATGGTCGTGTTTCAGCTCACAAGAAACGCGATGCTGAATCCTGATTGCAGGTTCATCCTCGTTATATATTTCATATCGTATGAAAAACTATATTATAAAGTGACGAGAATGATATAATATTATGGTTACTAATGTTGTGAAAATAATAATAATGAAGGATAAATAAAGGGAATAGGAAGTCAGGGGTGCTGGAGAACGAGGAGGAGGGGGAGAAATACGCACAACACAGCCTCCGCAGATTCCTAAGGACTCGAGCCCCTCAAGTCATGCCCGCCATCAACAATTTCTTCTCCCAAGATCATCACTAACCACCATAAATTAATATTTTCCCATTTTTAATTCCTATTTTCTCACTTGTGATATATTTGTTTCATGAATAAAGCAAACTTTCCTTGGGGGAGTGTTGTAATATTTCAATGTTGGTCTCTCTGTTTTTTTTTTTAAATAAAAACTGCAAAAAAATCGACTTTTTTTTTTAAATTTTTCTTATTTTAATATCCAAATTCTTAAATCATCTCGATACTTAAATATTAAATATTTATATATTTTGTAAAATAGTAGGAGACTATAGGTTGTTCTAGTTCTCTGTATATTAAAAAAAAAATGATAGAAAACGATGTCGTTTTGACAGCACCATTTAGTAAATATGTATTGGGCTAGGCCCATTAAGCACATCGGAATCGATCAAACAAATAAATAGGCCCATATAGAAGGCCCATATAACAATTTCGCTTTTAAACTATGTACATTTTTGTAATTAGGCGTGGGTTGTCCTCCCCCGCTCACAGGCCCCATGTTTGGATTATCATCGCATATTATTTATATGCAGAACATGAAATTTATTCCAGCCCTCAGTTTTCTTGTAATTATTTTTCTAAAATAATAACAACGATGATGACGACTTTATTCAAACGATAGAAATAGATATAAGGCACAATAATTAATGTGATTTCAAGTTGCCAAGCATATTAATTATTAAATAAGTGATGATATTCTAATGTTATATAACAATTCATTATTGTTATCCCGACCAACCCCCTGTTAATCCATTTGCAATAATATTCTTTTAATTATAATTTTCGATATCTTTGTTTCCAAAACAATGATAGAGTGTGCATATGCACATTGAGTTACATATATTGGTTAGAATAATCCACGAGACTTTTTTTTTCCTTTTACCAAAAAAAATATTTGATTATACGAGTCTAAGATATGTTTTTTTTTGGGATGGATATATTCGGTCAACATTCGAGATTCACCAAGTAATATAATCAAATGTTTTGTTGAGGTGCATGTGAGTTTGGTAGGTTAACAACATGCTATAAGAGTATTCATGGATCATATATATATATATATATATATAACCATATCTTTATCCATTTATGCACATACATATACATTAAAGAGAAGTGTAGTGGACAACAGCAAAATCGAAATCGAAATTGAAAGAAACAACAGCAAAGACAAGCACTATAGGGTACCAAAACAAAAAACAAAAATGAAAAGGGGGGGGGGGACCTTCACACATGCATGGGGGTTTAGAAAGATAAGTGCATAGTGGAGCTAATTACCAAAAAAAAAAAAAAGACTCAATAAGAATATTTTCTTCACTATTTCAATTAATCATACATATTGATGATATATATGCTTAGTCTACCATACGAAATAGCTTCATTGATTCCAACTATAGTCTAAATTTGTATCAACCCATATATAGTTTCTATAAATGAGTTTTCTAGAAGAAAGGTGCACTCCGTTCATAAAAATGAAACCACCATATCATGTAAGCCGCCTTCAATATATATATATATATTCAAAAAATATATAAACAGGGAGTGTGCTTATCCATATCATATAATGAAATAGTTGCCCCAAACCATATTTTATGCATTCTCTATTTCGTTGTCATTCAAAAAATTCCAAAGACAATTTCATTGTTGGACAGCTTGTTCTTCAACTATCAAGAGAAATATATATATATATATATATATATAATAATTATAAATAATTAAGCGAGATTTATAATAAATATTGTACGTGAAACCCACATTTCTGGCCCATTCATTATATTTCATGCAACCTCACGGATGGTCGTGGTGCACGGTTTTTAAGGTATTTATGATACATACACACATACATATATATATATATATATTATGTAAATGTGTGCCGTACTTTGATTTTTATACTTAGCCATTTGCTTAGACTTGTGACTTTTGGGTACAAATATGTGCCACCTTAGTGTTCAACTTTGTCTTTTCCTCATGTGATTAATGTAGAATTCCCATGCTCATTAATTAGCTACTAATTATACAATTTAGGATTTGGAAAAGAATTGTATCTTAGAAACTAATGAGAGCTCATAAGCAAACAAATGAATAGGACAGACATTCCATGACAATGCGATCTAGATTTTGTCAATCATTCGAATTGATTATAATATTATGGCAGGTAGATTATTTGTGAATTCTCACTGGTTTTATGTACTATATTGACAAATGATATAAAAAAAAGAATTTAAATTTATATAAACAATATCTTATATGTTATACACAATATGTATAAAATCTAAACTTACACATTAGCTCGTAAATTGGAATTTTAGTCAAAAGATTGATTTGGTCGATCCCTCCCTCTGATTTGGAACTTATTTCTCGAGCCATGTGAATGAATCGGTGGTCAGTCCAACATTGACTTAATGCGATAACAAATGTTCACACGAAAGATCAATTAATTATAATAATTTCACATGAAATCGACAACTCGTAGCATGCTTTGTGCTGCCAGTTAGCTCCCCCGCCGCCTGCATATATTTATTTTTTTTTTAAAATAAAATAAACTAGCAAATTAAACTATCCTACCCGTAAAATCCATCTTATATATATACACACACAGAATCAAATACATCGAATATATATATATATATGTGTGTATATACGAAATGAATTTAGAATCCGGTTCGATCAATACAACTTATACCTCATAAAAAAGCAACCAAAGTAGAATTAAAATACAAATAGAATATTGTTTAATGTGGATTTTGGATAGAGGAGATATTATATACTAGAATCTTAGCCCTAGAAATACATATACATATATATATGTATAGGTGTGGTGAATTTATTATAATTGGAGGAATCTACGATCGAGATCAATAGGCGAAGACTAAGCAGAGGAATGGCAAGAGCTATGCACATAGCATTGTGCAGGAGAGGAGGAAAAAGAGAAAGAGACCATTCCTCTTTGGCTTTTGCTTTTTGACATTTTACTTCTAAATGGCCAAACATTGTATTTATTGAGCCTCCTTTCGGTTCTCTCTTAGTTGTAAATAATTACCATTAATTAAAAAAATTAATATAGGTGGAGAGAGAAGACTTTTAAAACCCTTCACTTTTGAAAAAAAAAATTAAATGTCACGAATATTTTTTTTAATATTTTAGCAAGTTCTCTCAAATTTAAATGCGGTGATTAGATGATTATATATTAAATAATTCGGTTTAAAAAACACGTATAAGAAAATTATATTTCCTCGCTGTGGTATTTCATTTTCTGTTAATAGAAATATTTATATTTTTCAAAAATCTATCCGCATATTCAAATATTCAAATGAGAATGAATCGTTCAATTCTTAATATGATCAATAAATTATATTTTTTTATTATTGTGTTAGATATCCATATATATATATGTATATGTATATTGACTATTGAGTAATGAAATGAAACTTATATTAAACCCAAAATTTTTAATTATCTGAATTCGATTCATAGTATTCAAATATTCGATTTTTTAGGATAAAATTTAAATTCAATTAGATCGGATATATATGAACCTTTTTTGTAATTTCTAACCATTAGAATTTGTTTTTTTTTAAATAAAATGGAAAAGATGGTGGAGAGATTGAATGAGAGAGAGAGGAGTCAAAGGATGGTCAACTCCAGTAAATGAAGACATACACGGGTACGTGGACTCGAATACCACACGTGCACTCAATCATCCGACCTATACATACTCGCATACAATAATTATATGGTAAATATATTATTCTCTTATTTATTATATAAATCTTTTATTTTATTTTATTTTCTCCAGGAGCGACGAGTCCTTCCGGACAGGCCATCATCTGGCATTCTTTAATCTCTGTCCGTGGGAACCACTCATTCTCTCTCTCCTTATGTTCGAATAATATTAGTATTTTTATTGTATTATTTAACAAAAAAAATAAAATACACGAATATATAAGAAACTAAATATGCATATTTAATTCGGTATTTAAAATATTATAGCTTCCTTAATCCAAGAAAAATATGATGTAATAATTTTAAAAAAATTCTTTCTTTAGCTGATCAAATATTTAGGATTTATTACTACATCAATATTTATTTATTTATTTTTGGTAAAGTTTGGCCCGGTGGGATTCGAAACATCAATATTTATTGTGAAAAATGTTCTAAATTTGTATTGTTTTGATATCTGTTGGGTTGGGAACTGAAATTGCAGGTCTCAAGACTGCCCAATTTAAATAATTTCTATCTATGTGAACCAAAATAGAATCATATTATTTGTTTTTTTTTTTTATATTTTCAATCATACTCTTTGTTATTAACGACTTAATGTTGAATAATATTTTGGTTAAATATTCGTGCAGATTTTACGTGAAACCGTAGGGCACTTTCGATTTCGCTTATTTCGCATGAACTTGCCGTACCACATACAAATGATTTATCTAGTCAAGTATTATAAATTCTACGAGTGGATCACAAGGAGAAATTTTATTACACAAAGATTAATGTTATAGTGTTTTATAAGGATTTTATAATTAAATTTCCTTATATACTTTATATAATCTAAAATATTTAAGTTGCTTTATTTTCTCTTATACGTTCCATATAATTTATATTTATTTTACAAGTATTCGTTATATTTTGTAAATTCATCACCGTATCCATAATTTTTAGATGCATGCACACATATGCATGAACATGAACCAATAACAGAAGGACCAACCAATCAATTCAGCTGATTTTGGATGCATTATAATGAGCATGGGAATATTTATAAAACAATTTGATTGATGACACTTTTCCTTTGTTTTTTTTTTTTAAATTTATTTATAAGTTGTGTTTACCGAAATATATCAATAATTAAAATGAAATAATGGAGAGAGAATAATGAGAAGAGGACAAAAAGGATGCCGTCGTGTGCAACCGGTACGTTGTGCATTGCAGCTATTAATTAAACGCAGCAACATTATTTTTTTCAGTATATACATACATATCCGTATATGTATGTATAAATCCAGACATTCCATTATTTTATTTTATTTAGTTCAATTAGGATATGCATTTATTTAATGTGCGCGTGTGGGTGGATATTCCTCCACTGATCGCCATCTATGCATGCATACGTGCATTCGCATATACAGATATAAAATAAAAATATATTTAAGTAGATATATACGCATATGTTTTATTTATTGTGAAATATTGGTTTTTAATGTATATATGTAGAGAGATGAGCACTTGTGAACGGAGTTCATTCTGTCATTTAGCTTATCAAATTGACATATTCTTTTAAAGATAAAATGTCGAACAACAAAATTAATAATAATAATAATAATAATAATATGCTCCTTTACCAAAAAAATAATAATAATCATAATATGCTCATATTGCCACGTCGATTGTGCTACAATGGAAATGTACGTGTTATATAACTCTCTAGTATGTCGGCTCGTAAGTATACTCATTTTGTTTCGTCACGCAAAAAAAAAACATTTGGAAAGCTTTGCAACAATTCGCATTGTCTATTTTAGACGGTCGTTTTCACTATAATATAAAACAAAAAAAAATTAAACATATTAAATTTACTTTCAAATATTAAGAGTTCACTGTTGTTTAGTAAAGTTTTTTTAATTAAAAATGCACGTAAACATTATTCTCTTATGTAAGACTTTCAAATCATTAACACATACGTAGACTAAAATTCTAAACTAATTAATGTAATTTTAGTAAAACAAATACATAAATTTAAATGATATATGAATTTTAAAATATGCGCTAACTCTATTTACATCTCGAGCTGAGCAGTCCATCCTTTATATCCTGACTTCTTTTTCGACATGCAGCCATGCAGAATGGCTAACACATGTAAACATGCATGATGATGTGGTGGATATATAAAATAATAATTAAATATAATATAATATAATATTCAAAGTAATTTAAATGGTAGACCGAATTTCAAACCTCTGCAGCATGGAGCCAGGAATGTTGTAGAATCAATGCTCTCCATCTTCGCTGTTGGAGAAGACCTCAGTTTTCAAGTCATGGCAGAATGATACACAGTAACATATATTTTCACAGAATAATATTTAAATCATTTTAACATTTTATTAATATGATTGTCTTTAATCGATAATCAATACGAAACGAAACAACCGCAATATTTTATTCTCATTTTGTTTTTTCATGTATTTGTTTTTTGAAAACCAAATTTACCCAATTAATCATCCTTTATAAACATGTTTAAATACAAATTACATTACAAAGTTAGAACTCATGACGGGCACAAATAATTTTGGTTAAAAACGTTGCCATTGATGTTTTAATTGATCTCATTATAAATCCATTTTTTTACAAATCACGATTATAATAAAAATTTAACAATTTTTTTTCATTATTTTTCAATCTCTCTCATCACTTATTCACGTGGAGTAAGCGAGGGAGGTGTGTCTTGTAGTGAATTTTATGTAAATGTTCCATAAGAATAGTTATTTTTTTTGGATCAGACACGTGAACTTCTGGTAAGTTTTTCATTTTTAAATTTTTTTTTCGTTTAAAAATCTTTTTATTAATAAAAGATTTTTTCCTAAATTTTGTTTTTTGGTCTTGTGGGTCATTTGGGTGGTACCCATGTGCCACCTTCTCCCCAATTATCTGTCCTTCAATCCTCCTCGTTCTTTATTAACTAGAATTATTAAAAAAAAAACTAATATTTCAAAATGGTGTAACTTTATAAATAAATTATCGACGCAATTATTCTAAATAATATACAATTTTACATTACTATATAGTGTTTTTTGGTGAAGAACTATAATTTAATTTGATCGTGCTAAAATCTCATATCATAAAATATCGATTAAATTAAACAATGCTATTGAAGTAGAGATTATAAATATTTTATAATACAAATCATTAAATCAGAAATGGATTTCATAAAATCTAGACCTTGAGATATATAATATTAGAAAAATTAAAATATATCAATTCAGTCAAGGCATTTTTTTACGATTTTGTATTAGTTTAGGGTTTTTAAATCTATGTTCTCCATTTTGTTTACTTAATCTATTGCGATAGGAATGTAGAATTCAATGTTTAAAGTTTAGTAGGGAACTCATGTGTTCTAATGTATACGATTATATATAAATATATATGTCTCCATTTCACGTCACCATGACATGTATAAAAAAAGAGCGCAATAACTTGTAAAAAAACAAAACCATATATAAAAGAGTGCAATGAATTTTAAAACCAATAATAATAATAATAACGACAAAATCATTAAATGTCTATTTAAAACAAACCATCAAGATTCAACCGTAAAGTTAATAAACTTTAATTTTACATCAACGAAGAATCTTCCCCTCCCAACTACAAAACAAAGCATTCATGACTTTTAACAATGAGTTAATTCTGCTCTCTACTTTTCTTTAATTTTATTAAATTAATTATTCAATGGCTGTTAATACACATCAATACATTGCTACCGAGATTATTTTCAATATTTTTCTTTACTCACTCGTTATTGATTTTTAGCCCGTAATTAGTTTTGGACGAAATCTAACCGTCCGATTGTGGTGTTATATTTACTTTTCTTGGTGATAGTAGGCGAAATTTGTCGGATTTGTATCGATGTTTTATGTTCGTGAATCATAAAAATTTTTATTTAAATATTTACATTAGATTTTCGAGTCATAATTATTTTACGTTTATATCTTGATATATGCAATTTATATACGATACACCGTTTCTTTACGTATAGCAGATAACGAATGAACTCGCCTATACATATATATGTGTGTGTATATATATAGTAAAAATTTACCAAAACAAAAGACGAGAAAATTCTATGGTCACTACATTACAACAGTAGCGTGAATATAAATTCTGTCTGACGTCCAAATATACGATACAAATCATTTGTATATGTGTCTGATAGATAAAAAGAAATTATTTATATATATTGAAAAATAAAATGTAAAAATTAAATTAGAAAAAAAGAACAAAAGAGAAAAATGAGAATATTTTTATTGTTACATCTCTTTTTTTCTTATTATATTACAATAAAAATAATTTATATTGAAAAACAAGAAAATAAAGATACGAAATAAATAAATAAGATAAAATATAACTGACACGATATATATTTTATTCTTAATTGATATTATACCTTTAATTATTATCAATCATATCAAATCTCCATATTTTGTTTATATTTCAACATTCCCCTCAAGATTGATTTTGAAAGAATTCAAAAATCAATCTTGAAGATAAAACAAAATGATGAAAAACTTCACTGTTATTAGAACAATCCATAAACACCAAATTTCATTTATTTAGAGAGTACTAACATTTTTCAAATCATTTCGTTTGACTTTAAAATTCTAGCTTAACTCTTTTTGTCATAGCATCTTGTTTAATCTTAGAGTTTTTATCTTTAACTTCTTTTTGTCATAGCACATCGTTTGAATATGGTGTTTTTACTCCTCTTTGAACGATCTAGATATATGAACATCCAAAACGTAAAACAAAGAAGAGATTAGAAAATTAAAAAAAACATATAGTTCAGATCGTAACACTATTGTATAATATATTGAAAAATAAAATGCAGAAATTAAATTAGAAAAAAAAACAAAAGAAAAAAAAGAAAAATTTTTATTGCTACATCTTTTGTTTCTTATTACATTACAATGAAAATAATCTATACAGTAAAAGTTATTTAAAAAACAAGAAAATAAAGATATGAAAGAAATAAATAACAAAAAATATAATTTACACGATATATATTTTATTATTAATTGATATTATGCCTTTAATTATTATCAATCATATCAAATCTCTATGTTCTATCTCTATTTCAACAATATATATTTTATATATGTATGTTTTTTTTAATATATATACACTAAGATCTGTTTACTTTTTTAATGAACAACTTTTTAGTTTTGTTAAATCATCTGCTTTCCATGGTAATTAATCTCAATCTGCTCTCTCTCTCCAAGCATGGTGCTTTAGGTGTCTATATAAATGCACAAGCACTAACCCTTTCAGCACCAAGCAGAGGCCCATCTCTATCTCTCTCTCTCTCTCTGCAGAAAACACAGACCAGAGAGAAGGAGAAGAAGGGGAAGAAGGTATCAATGGAGATGATGATGACAGGTTTGGTGGTGGTATTAATGGCATGCATATGCTCGGCTTTGCTGAGATGGAACGAGATGCGTTACGCCAAGAAAGGGCTCCCTCCAGGCTCCATGGGATGGCCGCTCTTCGGCGAAACAACCGACTTCCTCAAACATGGCCCCGACTTCATTCTCCTCAAACGCTCTCGGTATCTATCATGGCACTCTTGTAATTAGATTCAGGGTTTTGTTAATCGGAGTTTTCATATCGACGACGTGGAAAATTCACTCTCTGACCGTCGACCCTACTTCTCGGTTTTGTCGTTGACCATATTCCTTTGTCTCCGAGAACCCAGCACCAAACTCCACTCAAATCTAATTATAACTGCACCATTATACTCGGAATTTAACATAAAAGCTATTATAATATGCGTTAATAAAACACACGAAAAAGGATTTTTACCTAATATTGCATATTGCTTCCAACTCTTTTTCACTTATAACCTCTTATAATGATCATGAGTTTAGAACCATATCTTGTAAACATGTTTGGTTTCTTCTTTTTTTTTTTGGGGGGGGGGGGACAGGTTTGGGAGTTTCTTCAAGTCGCACATTCTTGGGTGTCCAACGATTGTGTCGATGGACGCGGAGCTTAACAGATACATTCTGATGAACGAATCAAAAGGGTTAGTCGCAGGTTATCCAAAGTCAATGCTCGACATCCTCGGCCCATGCAACATAGCCGCGGTCCATGGCTCGAGCCACCGGCTCATGAGAGGCTCCCTGTTAGCTCTGATTAGCTCTACGATGATCAGAGACCATCTCTTGCCCAAGATCGATTCCTTCATGAGGCGCTATCTTAGTCGTTGGGATGAGTTCGAGGTCGTTGATATCCAGGACAGGACCAAACATGTGAGTCTCTCTCTCTCTCTCTCTCTCTCGTTCTGTGTTATCGTAAAACACAGCATGCAGAATGATGTGGGCATTGAATCAGATCTTGGGTCTTAATATTCGCTTACTTTAGCATGTGATTCTCGTGAAAGATTGAATATTTTGGACCGTTTAGTTTATCCAATGTTCGTCTGTAAAAAAAAGGATTAAAACGAGAAGAAATATATAACAGAGGATTATATATATATATATATATATAACAGAAAACAGATTTTATTTTGTTGGTTCAAAGCAGGGGTAGAATAGTACTTTCAACCCCCAGCTCTGAGAAACCGGTGGAGTACTAATTAATTACCACTTGGGTTTTAACGGCTTTTATGCCTGAATCTTTATTATCATTAATTACTATTATATATGTTCTTGTTCTTGTTCTTGAAGATAGAATATTTATGTTTTGTTTTTTTATACATAATTTGAATTTTCTAATTAATCTTTTTTTTTTGTGGGTGGGTCTTGAGCAGATGGCGTTTTTGTCGTCATTGACACAAATTGCGGAATCATTAAGCAAGCCAGTGATTGAAGAATTCAAAAGTGAGTTCTTCAAGCTCGTTCTCGGAACTCTATCTGTTCCGGTCAATCTCCCCGGCTCGAATTACCGCTGCGGAATTCAGGTAAAACACTCGAACTTCTTCGGAGGATTCCTACTTCATACACATGTTTATACACAGTTGAGTTTTTTGGGTTACTTGTCAGGCAAGAAAGAACATAGATCAACTGCTGAGGGAACTGATGCAAGAGCGGAGAGCCTCTGGAGAAACTTTCACCGACATCCTCGGTTACTTGATGAGGAAGGAAGATAACCGATACCTGCTATCGGACGAAGAGATAAGGGATCAAGTCGTGACGATCTTGTATTCGGGTTACGAGACTGTCTCTACAACCTCCATGATGGCTGTTAAGTACCTCCGCGATCATCCCAAGGCGCTTCAGGAAATCAGAGTACGTAACCGGGGAAATTAGAACATAACCGGTTTTTAACTCACCGGTATGGTTCGGTATTGATTTTGGTATTGTTTTGGTTTCCTATGCAGAGAGAACACTTGGCCATTAGACAGAGGAAAGGTGAGGATGAGCCGCTCGATCTTGAAGATGTGAAGTCGATGAAATTCACTCGTGCTGTAAGTAAATGCGATTCTTTTCTCCATAGGATATAATATATATTGTTAATCTTTGTTACGATATTGTCGTTTCTGGGGTCGTTATTATTTTTATCATAATAATAATAATAATAATAATAATATTGTCATAAATATGATTAGTGAAGCATATGGTTTGGACCGTTTGTTCGCAGGTGATATTTGAGACATCAAGATTGGCAACCATTGTTAACGGTGTTCTTAGGAAGACAACCCATGATTTGGAACTCAACGGTGAGTTAACTTCATAATTTTTTTATTCTTGCGTTATAACCATATAATAATTTTATCAAATTTATTTATTTATTTATGGGTTTTGTTTAGATAAAATATTTGGGCATGTGGACCTTATAACATACCAATGATTTACATTGCATACCATCCAATCCAGCTATGCAATCATCCTCTTGTGTGTCCTACATACCTTCATTTCAATAATTTTGTTCAGAAGTGAACATCTTTTCATTTTATTTTTTAGTTTTTCTTTATATTTAAAATTCTTAAGATCTTGATCTTCAGGGGTACATGCTTTACGTCTTGGAACCATTGATTAGGGCGCTAATTCATCAATTCAGTGTTGAGTATCCAAGGTTAATCATATATATAATTAAGGTTAATCATACATATATATATATAATTTTGCAGGGTATATAATTCCAAAAGGATGGAGAATATACGTATACACGAGGGAGTTGAACTACGATTCCAGTCTGTATCAAGATCCATTCACATTCAATCCGTGGAGATGGACGGTCAGTATCATTGAGCCAACATCATTACACATGTACATACATATATATATATATATATACACACACATACACTTCTGTTAAACCGTTGGACAATTGTTAATGCAGAAAAAGAACATGGAATCACAGAACTACTTCTTTCTGTTTGGAGGGGGAACCAGGCTTTGTCCTGGCAAGGAGCTGGGCATCGTCGAGATCTCCTCGTTCCTTCACTACTTCATAACCAGATACAGGTCCGTTTTTCTTTCTGAAACGCCATTGATGCTGTAAGAAAGGAGAAGATTCTCTGTCTGAAACATAATCTTGAAATGTGATTGGTTGATGGGTTTTTGCAGGTGGGAGGAGATTGGAGGAGAGAAACTAATGGTGTTTCCAAGAGTTTTTGCACCTAAAGGATTCCATCTCAAGGTTACAGCTTGCTGACTTTGCTTGCCAAACCTTAGAGAAGTTAGATATGTACAGATAATTAAGAAAGAAAGAGAGATTATATATATATATATATATAGAGAGAGAGAGAGAGAGAATTATAAGAGTTTATAAAGGTGTACCTATATATATATATATATATATATATTTCTGCGTAGCTTTTGCCAGAAGTTAAGAGGGGTTATGTGGGATTTGAGCTTTATCTCGTCTTGAAATTTTTTTACCCACAATTTTTTCCTTTGATTTTTCTGTTCATCTGTATAGAACCATGAACAGTTTCTGCTTAAAATCATTGTATTCTGTTTCTGTCATCTTGCTTAGTGGAGGAAAAATGCTCCTTTGTATGTATAATCAAATGTAAAAAATAGTGTCTCCAGGACCAACTTCTCTTGCATTAGTTCAGACATGAACTTGGGACATTCGTAAATGGGGAACATCAGAAATCTTGTCTGGCAAATTATTAGAGAAAGAGTAAACCTGGTATCATTATGCACTGCTGGGCAATGGCGTAGCTGCAGTCGAGATGTCAGATCACCAAATGGTAAATCGGATTCCATGAGCTTCTGGTATACACACCAGATCTCATAATAGACACAGAACAAGTAACAGTCTACAAATCAAGAGGAATAATCAACCATTCCAAACTCTCACAAGATTCAGAGGTACAGATCTGCTTCGGGGTTCTGCTCTCTCTCTCTCAGTTTCTCTTCAGGTCTGAACAAAGATGGAGTCTGATGTTTTGTGGCTCCAAAAGAGTTTTTCCCACATGAAGATGAAGTGTTCCAAATTGAACAAAGATGGTTCATTCGTCTGTCGAATCTTCTGAGGTTGGATTAGTAGTAGTATCTTGAGTCCTTGGGTGCTTAGCATCGCGTGTTTCGCCGCCATTTTCACGGTTAAGATGCTTAGTAACGGTATCTTCTCCCAGAATGGAGATGTGTTTCATTGTGATCTGTCTGCCTGCCTTTACCTTAGGACCCCAATACTTTTCCGGGTTCGGAAGAAAGCGAACAGCTTTCTTCTTTGCCTGCGCTTTGCTAAGCGATGCTGCCCGAGCAAGATCTATCTGTTCACAAGCAAGAAAGATCACCAGATTCTTAAAAGTCTTGAAACCATGAACTTTGTCCAAATGTTATTGAAAAGGATCCCAACACGTTTATGTACTATCAGCTATAAGCCCTAGTTATACAGTGGCATCGAAACACTGAAAGATTCAAACTTTGAGCAGTTTATATACAAGTGTTGGTATATTAGAGAATAAAAAACAAGGACTGCCCTGTAATTTAAGGGTTTATTCACAAAGACAACATATTGAGGTTCTTTCAAAAATATTTATGCAAGTCAGATTTCTCTGGACCTTCTCCCCGGCCACTTTGCAGGTAGTATTTATGTGAAATGCATAAAGATTATACCTTTCTTGGATACAAACTATTCAGCTTTTATTGTTGTTGGGTTTACAAGTTCTGTTCAAAGAGAATGTACCTCGTGATCTGTACTGGGTTCCTTTGAAAGTATAACGCTTCCAGGATGTTGAGGAGGTTGCGGCTTTATCGGATGAGTTTTTACCTGCACCATAGAGGATGTTGACAAGTTCAGCTAAAACTCTTACTATACAACTACAAAACGCAGAAGTTCTGTCAAGATTTCAATTCAACTGGTTATCGAATTATTTACGGTGCCTATATAGTATCACAGGAACATTAAAAACTTGAAAAATGGCGTTCTGAGCTCGAATTTTGATTACCCAGAAACGCATGAGATCCCAAATGAAATCCATAGGAGCATTGGTTTTTAGTCCAAGTGGCTCCACATGAGTTCCAGAAATCTCATATCCTGCATTGATGACTGCAGATCTGAAGAGAACAGCTGAAGGAGGAGTACATTTCAGCGTTGCACATAGGCCATGGAGGCTCAGAAAGAGAGGAACGTCGGGCAATTCCTGCAGAAAACCAAAAACCGGTGGATTTCACTTTGACCTCATCAAACTGCAATTAGGTAAAAACACTATATCGTTACATGATTTCATTAGGACAAGGCTTTTAGTTTCGGTGTTCTCATTGGTTTGTGACATTCGTGATAAGGAAATTTTCAGTAACACAAGATCAGAAAAAAGTGGAACTCACTAAAACATAACGTGATGTTGAACTTACTTCGGAGATCGAGGTCAATGTAGCACATATACGATCATAAGCAGGATATTTATCCTTCATAGATTTCACGTCTTCTAGGATAGAAGTTACCCAATCTTGGTCGTGTATAGGAGCGGACCATATGGGTCCACCTATGTTAAATTTTTTCCCACAGTGGGAGCATTCTTGAGGAACAACCGGACCACAGGCAGGCAAATATCTCGTACTCTTATTCTGCCAAATGATGCAAGAAACACGGACAATAAACTTGCCTGAAACAAATTGAACTAGAAACCCATGCAAAGGGAAATGGCACAGACACAACAATCAGCAGCAACTTCAGCGAGTTTCCAGTAACTTAACGATGAGCATGTGCAAGACAAGGAAAATTTTATGTTGCCATTGACACACAGATGTAAATTATGATAGTTCTCTATGGCCAAAAGTGGGGTAAACTTCAAAAAGATGCAGATGAAATGCGTTTTTTCGATGTAAATTAATTAATATAGGCGGGCTACAAAGGTGAACGGCACACAGGAAATTTCTGGTTCTGGAATTAGCATAAATAGGAATTTCTATTTATTCACCTCACAAACTTTCATTACCAGATAAGTCCTCTTAAACAACCCCTCTTTCTGATAGTCATAGCTTTTCCTTCTCTGATTAAATATTACACTATCAGATGTCGGAGAATACTATCTATTCACAGATATCCATCAGAAGACGATGTCCAAACAAGGGAAAAACATGGAGAAAAGAGAGAGAGCACAGAGAGTTTACCAAATCAGTGTTTTCACCTTTTCAAGAGTTCTCCCAACAGGCTGAAGATGAAAGGAATCACAACCATTACACTGGTAAACATAAGACAGCTTGAGAGGAGTGTTCTTCATCTCACCAGCAGAACTACATCAACCGCATTAAGCTTCTAATAACTCAGTAATGGGGAGAGGAAGAGGAACTTCTGAAAGTATATGATTAATGCTTGGTTTCCAACAAAACCTGATGAGTGTCAAGTCAAAATCCTGGCTTACGTGTATATCCGGACAAAGACACGAACATAGAAGTCCATTTGAACTGACAGAACAGGAACAATGTATCGCTTATAGCGATTTGCATGACTCTGCATTTTAAGGGAAGACGGTTTAAAAAAAATGATAGACTTTACTAAAAGGCAATGTAATATAGGAAATAAATATAAAAAGTAGTTGGAAACATGTAGGGATGTGAAGAGATTTACCTCTATACAGGCAAGGAGAATCCTCAAAGCCATCTCATGACAGTATTTTCCTTTGAGAGGATATGAGCCGTATCTGATGGCAATAACATTGTTTGTTAAAACTAAGAACAAAAACAACGCCAGGAAGCAGATTCGAAAGTGGATATATCTTACTTGGAATAACAAACGTCTCCATTACCTCCACAAAGCACTGCCAGATCAGTTGCCGTGCACATCAGCATGCCTCCATCAGAGACAGATTGGACCGCAGAGTCCAAGAATATAGAAGGTGAACCATAGGGATCCAGGTCAACCTGAGGCAATTTGATGGTGTTCAGGGTCAGGCCAGACAATACTCTTTGGTTAAAGTGAAAAATATCTCGAAATTTATTGTGATATATTTATACATCAGATTGCTTTTAGCATGCAGAAATATTAAAGATACATACCATGTCGAATTCTTTTGGATGTGTGAGCATGTATACACGGGCATCCGCTAGATGTGACTCTATCTTCGAACTTGCAACTGAACCATTGAACTTTATATTTCTCTGGCAAGCTTCTACTGATGCTGCAAAGAAAGAAAAGAGAAACCAAACACTCATGAGAAGCTCTACCACCAAAAGGAGCACACAAATTCAAACCATTTTGGACTTTAAAAACATAAATCACTGTCCTGAATGGTTCTTGGATAGAACTGAACATAAGCAGTATTTGTATATGTTCTGGAGTATAATACATCTGGTGACCCTATTCAAGGAATCAAGAGGAGCTTTCCTTCTCCATTTACAAAGGGATCAGCAAGGAAAATCCTCAACAGGGTAGATCGGGAAAAAGGAACATTCAGGAGTTACCCTTATCATTATCTAATGCCACAACTTGACCGATCTCTTCTACTTCAAGGGCATATCTTAATGCTCTCAACCCGGAAGCTGACAAAGCCTACAGATTAAAAAACAAATCAGCAGAAAATCAGTCAGCAAACCTGCCTAAGATTCTTTAGAAGTAACCCGATGTCATGTCACCAAGCAAAGTGGCAGCTAAAAACAAACCTCAAGCACTCTTGGTGGCTTAGGACCCATTTGAGTGGTAGATTCTGTAGTCTTAGAAGATTTCTCTGACACACCAGATTTTTCATCTAGAGAGATTGATTCTCCCCCGTCATGTCCTTTGTTTATTTCATCGTCATTGATATTAGATTTTTCAGGAGCTTCTCCTTGTACAGATTTTTCAGCATCTTTCTTAGTGGCTTCTGATGCTCCTCCTCTTTTTCTTCTAGACAACATTACCTCATGCTCTTGCTTGCGTTTGGAAATGAATGCCCTTAAGACAGCAATGGACATGTCTCTGTTGTTCACCTATAGAATGCGATAAAACTTAACAAGCAGTAAAATCAATCCCATGCACATCGTATAGACATTCAACTAAGGTACCAAAAACAAAATCAACACACTTTCATTGTTGAAACAGCTAAAGTCTCAAACAATGATTTGGTGGTCCAGCTAGAAACGCATAACTTCGTTTAACACTGATTCCTTCTCTCATTTCAACTGAAAAAGCAAACAATCACAGGGAGATAGAATCTGGTGATCTTAACACAGATTAAGGACTCCATCAATGATATGGATTCCTTACTGGGATCAACACAGCAAACACGCACTCCAGAACAAAAGTACAACAGCTTTCAATTGCATTTCCTCTGGCTTAAGCCACACACCATACACATTGTGACTAAAATCTCCAGAGAAACAGAAACATCAAAAGTCGATCTTTCTTCCATTTTCAACCATCATTTCACTCAATGTGTAAATCATTCAAACCCAATGCATCAAGCTTCCAATAAGTAACAGAACACCCACCAAATTCTACCAGAACCCAGATGGGAAGAAGCACAAAAACTTAAACAAAAGGGCAAGAAAATGCTAGAAAAAACATGATTTCGGAACCTGGGTCTTGTTGTAAAAGACTTCATTTTTCGCGTCAACGAGGATCTCGGCCTTGCCTTCCTTAATGACACTGTAATCGCCGAGATAAGACGACATCGTCTCCGTTTTCTTCAGGTCAGAAGCAGAGAAGAAAGAATCCACCTTTATGAACGACAAATGCCGAAAAGCACCTCCCTTTACCGAGGATATGGTTAGCCTACGTTTTAGGGTTTTAGCGAGACGTACGTTCATCCAGAGAAGAAGAGGCTTTGCTCTCTCGCGTTGAATTTGGGGGGCGTTTATTTCCATAAACCCTAAATGGTCAAAATTTCGATCATTGTCTGCTCGCGCACGTTAGACTTAGTACTGGTTTCTGGCTAAAATGAGCTATAAGTAAGGTTCTATTGACCGTTCATATTTATGAATTAGTGCTGGTTAACTTAACTCTGATAGTAAAATTGAGTCAAGGTGTAGATTAATTCAAATTTGGTTATTATTAATTCGAATTTAAATGATTGTGAGTTATTTAAAATACAATTTTAACTGTCGTGTTTCAAACAGGAAGAGGTAGAAGGAATTTCTATTTATTAGTTGAAGATATGCTTCCGACTATATATTATATCACAGGATATGATTCAGCCCAACAATTTTTTGGGATTGTACCAAAACAGTCCATGTAAATTATAAGTCTTCCTCTAAATGATTTAGTTTTCCCGTTATATCTGATTTATTTTTTATTTTATAAAATTTGTAATTATTAATTTGTTATATCTTCGGTTCGAATTCTATTCAAGTTCCTTTTTTATTAAATAATTATTTTACAAGTTTGTATTCTTTCTTTTTTGTATTCCATTCACTTTTAAATTATGTTCATATTATATTCAGATTCGATTTTAATTCAATATCTTAAATTTAGAAAAATCATATCTGATTATATTTATCTGAACAAACATATATTATTGTTCGGACTGAAAAATATATATATTCATAAAATCTCAGTCGAAGTATAGCTTAGCTTCTAAGTGAAGAAAACTGTAATAAACGACATCCTGGCATTGATATTATGAATCGATTATGTAACTTTCATAATGCATGAATACACATGCTAAATAAAAATGGAATTGACACGTAATTTTAATGATTTAATAAATTAGAAAGCGCAAAATTATTTTCAGTCCGGCCAGAAAAAAAAAGTCATGGATGAACCTTACAATCTATATGTATAAAATTATCTCTAGTGCATTAATAATTGAGACATTAGGCTGATTTATATAATAAATAAGGTAATAATATATTAATACCAAAGATTAGCTGTATCTTTACACGTTACCAGCAAATTTCAATCTGTCCTTTTGTTCTCTTTCTCCTTTTTCCTTGCGATTTTTTTCCCTGATTTATAAGAAATCAAATTTGCATTTCTTTTAAATATTTGAAGTCTTTTTTCAACCTTTAATTAATGAATTAATTTATTTATATATGTAAGCCGTGGTCCTTCACCACCCATTATCGTATGGTGTTACGCCATTACGGTAATAATTGTGCACCATTAAGGTCTATATATTTATAAAATAATTATAGGCCATATGTTTAATTTTCTTGAGCAAACCAATATTTTGAAGCCCGCTAAATTAAAACCAATACTTATACAATAGGTCCATTCGAATGAAAACTTATGAATGGATTTCCAATAAATAATGCACTAATTTCCATATATTTTATAATGATAAATATCTCGTGATTTCTTTAAAGAGTATACAAATCATATATATACTAATCTAGTTTAGGTCCTCATGTGTATCTTACCCATGCATATATTATTACAAGATATGCAGGAAATTAATTTGAAAGGAATAAAAAAAGTTATATATAGTAAGCAATCTAAGCTTGTAACAAAGCGATGGGTCCGTGATCATGTATCATGATACTCTTTCTAGAAGCTTTATATATATATATATATATATATATATATTATACATCCTAAATTAAATATTAAATTTTTCTAGCGTTCTTTTTGTGTATTTCCGTTTCCGTTTCCGTTTTTTTATTTATTATTTTAATCCAAGTTTTTGTAGTCAAAATAAATATGTGTGCACCATGAGGCATGGACCACGTCATATATACCATGTGAATATTTGTATACAATATACAAAACTTAGTATAATAGTCTACGTCTTTAATTTGATTGGAGGAAACAGACAAAATTGCTGAGAAGAAGAACGGTCATATCCAGCTTAGATACAATGAAATCAACCTGTCCGCTACATTACTCACCATCTTTTTCGTATCTAACATCTGCTTATGCATACACACACTGATACACATATATATATATATATATATGTATGAATATGTATTCATAAGATCGATATATACGTATGTATAGCCATTTATGTCAATCTCAACTATACATATGTTTCATAATTCTCTCTACAATGATTTTCTGTGTTTTAACCAATGTTTTTGAATCATTAGACCAAGATTGAATAATCTACTAGATGCCACGTGGTGGAGAGATAACAAAATTATTTTAAGATTCTAACTTCGGTCGTTGTATAATGTCTTGATGAATACAAAATAATATTCTTATGAAAATATGGAATAATCAAATAACCCGGAAAACTATGGTATTTTGGATTTCAGTTATGTTATCCAGTTTTATGAAAAAAAAACATATTTATGTGGTTACTATATCTTTTGGTTAGTATTGGATACTAGTTTGAGTTCGACTTAGTTCTTTAAAGATATCTATTTTGTAAGTTTTTTTCCCTTTCATGAATGTTTTATTGTTGGTTGATCGTTTATAATGTGGATTCAGGGATCCTGTTCTATGTACCATTAGTGTGATTAATACAACCAAATTTTATAAAAAAAAATATTCTATTTAATTTTTGTTTATTTACTATTCAAAAGAATTATTCAATTGATTTTTAAATCATGTGTTCAATTTATATAACTGAAAGAAACAATTATTTCAGATGCAACTAGAGTGAACTAAAGTCAGTATATGTACATTTTATTAAGATAATAAACTTTCCAAGTATAGATATACGTGCATATACGTATACGAGAAAGTATTTCTATTTTGTGTGTGTGTGTGGTCACACTCATGTTTTAATTAAGAAATTCGGTTAACCAATTCAAGAAATCCAAACATTCCATAAATACTTGTACGTGCAGCCGAAAGGCAAACAACATATAAAACTAATATGACTCATTGAAAACTTGAGAGGCATATTCAAATCTTCCTATTGCCCGATTTAGTATACTAGAAACTTCATTAATGCCCCGACATTGTTTATTTAAATATTAATATTGTTTTCGCCATTATAATAATAATAATAAATAGTAATAAAAGTAGAATTGATCCAAAAGCAATGCTGATTATTTTATTTCACAACTGTCGAGTCTCTATTGGTACATAAGTTGTTTTCCAAGTAAACAAGGACAGTCCACTATCAAAGTTTCCATTTTTTTTAATTATTATTTTCCTTTTTGCGGTTTTTTTTATCTCCCCCAACTGAATCGGGACCAAAGTTATGCCTTAGTGATGATGTCCATATCTCTTCAAGTGTCCAAAGACAGACATTGTTGTAAGAATATTTGGTGATAGAGAATATATATATATCTGTACGGATCCACGTTTAGGGTACTTGTAAAACCCTAATTGGATACAAAGAAAATGAGCTGTTTTGCATGATGTGGTAACACTTGGTCGAAGCTTAGAGGCCGAGAAAGATTTGCTTTCGTGATTGAGAAACTCAAGTAAAATTTTGATTCATCACACATTTAATGGGGTTGATTAATAATTAATTAATTAATCAATAATGACATAATTATTTACTTTGTGGGTATATTTAACTAAAAAAAAAGAAGGGACAAAAAAACCCAAAAAAGTATGAAGTGACTGATGTTAAGCATAATGAATATTGACACATACACACACATATATATATACACGCTCATGTCACAACACATAGATGAGCAAAGGCACACACACATAAATAGGAGTGTACGTAAGGTCGTAGAATCGTTTTGTCTCAAAGAGGCTTTGGAGGCGAATTTCCCAAGTATATATTATGGTTGACTGGGGAATTCATCATCATGATCATGATCATGATCATGATCACCATCATCATCAACATGATCAACATCAGAAGCAACAACAACAACAAGATGGATGGAGGAAAGGGCCTTGGACTCCTGAAGAAGACAAGCTCCTCGTGGAGTATGTTACTCTGCATGGAGAAGGAAGATGGAGTTCTGTTGCTAAGTGTGCAGGTAAATCGCTATATATAACACGTGTGTGTGCGTGTGTTTGTGTATGTATGTGTATGTGTATGTCTATTTATACGTACGTATGTGTATGTGTGTGTTAATCATAGATTTCCATCTTTGATTGATATACTTTTTGTCAAAAGAGAGAGGAGCACGGGTATACACAGTCGATTTGTTTTGGCGATTTGATCACCGTCATCATCATCATCATCATCATCATCATCTTCTTCTTCTTCTTCTTCTTCTTCAATGTTTTCATTTTCTTGATAAATAACAAAACTAGTTGATGAAAAGTACTACAACTTTTATATAGATAATTAAGGTAATAGACATATGCTTTTTGTGGAGATTAAATAAAAGGCGAGAGCAAACTAGTGGGAGATCTAATTAATGGGGCAAAAGTTGACTTAGGCTCTCTTGGATTATATTCTTTAAAATACTTTTTACATTTTTAATGGACAAAGCCTTAATTTAAGCCCTAGGGTTTAACAGAAGCCTTATACAAAATTATCTCATATTTTTCTTACTCGTGGAGCCCGTCTTAATTTGATCTTATAATATGCATAATTATATACTATACTACTATCTTTTGATTCGAAGAATGTCAAATGGGGAAAATTTTTATGCTCATATTACAAGGTCTAGTTGCGTTTTTTATATCTGCTTGGTTTCCATTTTGGCAAGGCTTTTTTATTTATTTAAATTAATATCCATTTGTATACTGTTGGTGATTCTTTTGCCACTCTCTTATATAGTTTTTTTGTACGGAAATTAGGGCTGAACAGGAGTGGCAAAAGCTGTAGATTAAGGTGGGTTAATTACTTGAGGCCCGGTCTTAAGAGAGGACAAATCACTCCTCTAGAAGAAGAAATTATCATCGAACTCCATTCTCTTTGGGGTAACAAGTAAGTCCCACACGTCCATATATATATCTATATATATCATACAATCATCTACTCTTGACGTTGTATATATTATCGAATAAAGATGAGATTAGCAACGGATAATTTAATTTATAGCATTTAAATTTTCCATATATGTCTTTGTTCCTTTATATATTTAGAATTAGATGGGATTATATATATGAATTCAATTGGTGTATATACACACACATGCAACACGTGTGCTGAAATTACAATTTTTTTATTGTCTGCATGAATAGATGGTCCACGATTGCAAGATACTTACCCGGACGAACAGATAACGAGATCAAGAACTACTGGAGAACCCATTTCAAGAAGAAAGAAAAATCGTCGCGCAAGCAAGATAACAAGATCAAGAAATCTCAATCACGCAAAACGCAGACGCAAATGCCAACGAAACCGCAGTCGCAGCCGGCTCAAGACGACGTCACGACGAAACTAAACCCAGAGCTGGGCATCGCACCTTCGGAGGGCCAGTATAACAACGTGCCTGATCAACATTACACGACCACGACAGCTGTTGCACCTTGTTCTTCCGACCAGTCTATGATGATCGACGGAGGTAATAATTACTTATGGGGAAGCTTGTGGGGTCTTGACGGTGATAATTGTTTCCTCTCCGGCGGAAACGACGATCAAACGGCGGGCGTTAACGTTGACGGTAACGTTAACAAATTTATCACCGTCGATGATAATTATGTTCAAGGTTTTCAAGGTTTGTCGTCTTGTGGATCACCGGGGGATTTTGGTTATGGTAGCGCCTCCTACACGGGAGGGTTTAGTTTTTAGTCTATGCTGAGATATAATCAAGATGTCGTATCTTCATGCAATAATCAGACATATTATATAAAAAATAAACTCTATATTGTATTGTTCTAACCCTAATTATGATATAATGGAATGGGGTGAGGCTAAACAAATAATGGGTTTCAATCTATATGGTATGGTAAATTGTTTGTATGGCTAAGTTACGTGTGAAATGGAACAATAATTTTTATTGTACGGCTAAGTTTAAAAGCATAATGTACTTTTTTTAGTGGAATTTTTAATAACATAAAAAAAATCCAAACCAAATAAAAACTATTTATATTGTACTAACTCTAATTATGATCTCTCATAATGGAATGGACTGAAGCTAATAAACATGGTTTTCAATCTATGGTATGACCCACCATATATAAATATAGCAGATCAAATTATAAAGCAATATTTTTGTTATTATTATCGATTGAGTTTAAATGTATAATATATTTTTAAATATCATATAAAAACCAACCCAAATATAAAGTCTAAAACAAACATAAATATGAAGATATGTAGTTTCAAACATCTAGAATATATTTTTATATGAACTTAACGAAAGCCCTAAACGATATACAATACATGTATCATTTTGTAACATCAGAAAATATTGAACTTTATGGAGATAGAGAGATATTATTTGATATATTCTAACAAAGAAAAAAAAAACATAGGAGAGATATATATTGTATATGGCCTTTTATGATTTGTTGAATGTAGTGTAATTCTTTTTGTATTTTATTTTATAATGGATCTCCTTTACTTATTTTGGACGAATCATAGCATTTAAATATAGTTTAGTTTGTACGGACTAAATGCGATGGAAATGATTATATGTAGACGACACGTGGTAGGACGTTGATCCAAGTTATGCGTTCCAAACGAAACATTATTGACATAATGGTACGAATTAGCCTTTATTATTCGGCGATTAATTCACATAATTACGATGTTATTAATTAATTAGTTGATTGCTTGTTGTTATCCTCTTCGTGGAAAAGAGAGCCTCAATAAAGGAGTTGACTTTTTAGCTTGAATCAAATAAACGGAAACAAATAAAAAAAAATTGGATTCATTTACGCAAATTTAAACTATATTTATTTTAATATGGTATTAAGAAATGTATATATTCTTAAATGAGCTTTTTAAAGAAATAATGTCCAAATCAAAACAAACTCTTCAAAACCTTAAAATGGTTATTTTTTCCCCAACGGTTTGAAGATTAAGGCAAAGGGATATGTACACAGATACATATATATATATATATATGTCTAATTGTGCAGGACTCTGTGCTTCTTCCATGTCTTCTCCAAGTCTTTTTATTAACAATGTCAAGAGGTTTCATCAAAGGCCATCACCTGAAAGATCCAGACCAAACACGAATCAGTAAAACTCATCACATAAGCGTCTGAAATTCTGCGGCTTAGATCATATAAGCCCTGCCATTTACGGGAAAACCCTAAACCTTAAACCCTAAATCCGAGCCACGAAATTTGCATCAGAACATGAGAAAAAGATTCACATGACACCTTCATATTGTTTGTCACAGAATGTTATGAGAGAAAAAAATCGTACTTTCATGTTTGCGCGGAAGGTAAATCCCGAGTTTCTATATAAATGGATGCAATGCAAAACCCCGTCAAAGGGGACAAAGATCGTCCCCTTTGACAGAAAAAGGAAATAGAAAGATGATGCTCGGATCTTGCAGATGGACACAGATTACTGCAGAAACCGATCAATGCTTCCTATGGAATATGCATATATATATATATGCCTAAGATGAATCGAAATGCAAAAAGATTACATTCATTCAAATTTTTTTAACCAAGGGAAAGAATAGAATTACCTTTCCGCAGACAGGACAGGTTTCACTTCTCTCCATCCATTCATAAATACAACTAAGGTGGAAATGGTGAGAACACCTGGTGAGTATCTTTGGATTCTCCGGGGTATATTCTGCACATTGTGAAACAGAGATTATGTAAACCCACGATACGATTACCTTCAAAAGCACGAGAAGAACATTGTCTTCCTCGCCAGGTTCCGAAATTTTATTAACAAAATGGAGCGTCATAGAGAAACTCCTAATGAGCTTATATTGCAGTGAGCAATCTATGAAATTCTGCATAAAATTGTCTTAAGAAGGACTAATTCCATCAAGTCTAATTTCTTATGAACACATCAGATCAAAATATATGCTACTTCTCACTATCTGCCCCTTAGGAGAGATGCCTAGAACAATTTGGATTCTAGAGACTAATTCAACAGTTAAGATTATAGCTTTACCATCAAGGCATGTCGGACAGATATCCTCCTCGTCTGATTCTGCATAATAAATTTCAATCCCCGGAGCTGCTTTTGACTTTAGAATGGTTGGTGAACTTTCGGTTTGCCCCTCTTTTGAACCATCTTCACAAACTGACTTACTCCATTTGGCTGCTTGACCCAAAGAATCGGAGTTCATACAACTATCGCCCCTTAACGGTTCTGCTTCCTCGCCCAAATGACTCGAGCCCTTCTCATGTCTAGAAACAAAACGGAAGCATCTGGGATCAGCATCATAAGGCAATGGCCTTGGAGGAGAATGGTACATATCAGAAAGAGAGTCATCAAGTGAAGTAGTGGAAGTCATTGCGGTGGCGGTCTCGACCGATGAAGGGATTGATTGCATTCCCCCTTGGTTGAAACACGAAGTATACTGAAAAATGTAAAAGGCGAATTAAACCAAGTACAATAAGCCAATTATACACGACACTGCCATCTAAAATCTCATCACCAAGTTTCAGAAGATCGGATTGATACAGAGTTCTAGAAAACAAAAGACGAATACTTGTCATCTAAAATCCCAGTACAACGTCTTCATGCAATTATATAGTCGGAAGACATGCTTCAGTAAGACAAAGAGCACAACGATTAGATGAAAGTGCATTAGCATACCAAATTTATGAAATTCTGAAGGCAGCAACTTAGGCATGGACAGTTCCTATACACGGAATTATTCTGATTCGCAATACTCTCGAAGTAGTCAACCCGAAAGCAACAACAAACTGCACCCATTTTCTGAAATTCCAGCTACTTCCTTCCACACTAAAACCTTCAACACCAGTCAGATAGTTTAGAACAACAAAAGAGAGTAGGAAGCCAATCACATGGAAGATGAACAAGGATCCTCTCTCTTGTACTTTCAAATCCCGAACACCCTTGGTCCGAGAGATTTGTTTGGACAGCTGAATCACCTGAAAGAGCAAAAGATAGAACACATGTCTCAGAAAAAAAACTGCAATGACATACGGTAGAGTATGTAGAAACAACAAAGCAATCCTCGATGAGTTTTTTTCTCTCCTTCTTGTTAAACTGTAGATGCAATCCTTGATTGATATTATTAATTAAGTAAATCAACTGATATGCATCTCAAAACCATAAACTGCAGATTCCAGAGAAAACTCTGACCTTTAGAGTTCCTCCTGAACAAAGTAATCAACCTTATCCAATATTCGTATGAATCAAAACCGCGTACGACCAAACTAAACCACTTTTGGCAAACCTTGGAGGTTTTCGAAATTAAAATATTCCAAATTTACATTGCACTTTATTCTCCAGTAGAGACAAAGGATCTCCAACCACTGTGCGCAAGAAAAAATAGAAGGAAAAAAAGAAGAAAAAATTGCACAAACCATTAGCCAAATATCAATACGCTCAAACCCTAAATCGAAAACCAGAATTCTCATCGTTTCCCGGAAAATAAGTTCAGCCCAGAAGGATAATTGAAACCAATCAAACGAAAGAAGATTGACCAATGAAAAAATCGGAAAACTTGATGGCAACCAAAACCCTTTGATATTTTACACCGAAAAATCTCGATCATCGGAGAAAAACAGAAAATTTCAAGGGAAAAATCATGGGAAGGGAGAGGTACCGTTGAGATAGAAACCGGGAAAATCCTGGAGCAAGGAGAGAATCTATGAGAGAAACTGGAAATTCTCGTTAACGAGATATTGAGTTTTTACTATCTAGCTGGAAATTGATTTCAGGTCTCCGTTTCGTCGAAAACTTTCCGGCGAACAAAAGCTCGAGATTTTCCCGGAAAATTTTCGACCCTCCCCTCGCCGATTCCTCTCTCTACCCTCTCCCCCTAGTTGCCTTTGATCAATAGGTTTTGGTCGAAATTTAAAGTTTTACAGGATATAAAAAGTTTCCTTTATCGGCCCTGAAGTTTTTAGTTATTCCTAAAATTGACCTATGTATTTTTTGAATTCCAAATTGGTCCACTATTGTTGTACCAGAACGGGTCTACCCGGATTTACTACCCGACCCGGTAAAATTTTCCAAATCTGGATTCACACGTCACTTTGCCGAGTCAGTTCTTTGAAAATTTCCAGATCCCTTGGATTGCAAAACAAGCGGGACCTCCATTTTGAACTCTGTCTCTGTCTTTCTCCGAATCAATCTATATCCTTATCGTCATCTTCTTCCTGTCTCCGGCGCGGGAGTTTTACTGTTCGTGGTTCTCAGATCTGTTCGTTTGCTCGTCTCTCTGTTCTCTGTTAGATGGGGAATCTATCGTTTTACGATGTTTGCTCCCTTGTACAAGGGTTAGAGGGTTAATGCGTGTATGTGCTCCGTTTTTCGCTCAGATTTGGAATTGGGTAGAAATTTTTGCTAGTTTAAAACCCTAGATTTTGCCGAGCAATGCCGGTGTTTTGTATTAGCTGTTTCAGTTGATTTTGTGTAACCTAGGTTTTTACAAGTGTCTCTCTGCTCTAGTTGTTTCGGATTGAACTTAAATAGTTGTCAATTCTAGGAATTTCCCTATGCGAAAGACCAAATGCGTTGATATATAAGTGAAGGATTCCTAGGGATCTGAAGGGTTGGTGAGTTATCTACTTCTAGAAAATGCAGAACTTCTCGAACTCGGTTCAGACACCTGAGGCCATTGTAGAATGGCTGCAGAATGAAATGGGTTACCGGCCGTTAGGTCCATATAATGGGACAAGCAAATCCCATGTGCCCTCTGTTGATGCGGCAAGGAAGATTTGCAGAGGAAACATGATACCCATTTGGAATTTTTTGATAAATCGAGTGAAATCAGAGAAGACTGTAGCCAACATTAGGAGGAATATTACAGTTCATGGGGGCAGCAACAATACTAGCATTGGTAGTTCTTTAAATACGGGGAAGGAGGAGGGTAGGAGTAAAGGGAGGCGGAAGGAAAAAGCAGTGGCTGGGGAGAGTTTGAGTGCAGAAGAGAGCAGAGAGGCTGCATTGCAGGAGAGGGAATTGGCTGCGAAGGAGGTCGAGAGATTAAGGAACATAGTGAGGAGGCAAAGAAAGGATCTGAAGGCTAGAATGTTGGAGGTCTCCCGAGAAGAAGCAGAACGAAAGAGGATGCTCGACGAGAGGGCGAATTACAGGTTTGACTTTAATCTTAGCTTGAATAATTTTGTAGTCATACTTTGTCTTCCTGACCAGGAGCTTTTAATGCTTTCTGGTAACATAGTTTTCTCTGTTCGCACCAGTGTCTTATTCTCAGCAAATGGTAGTAAAGATAGTTTCTTTTATACCATGCTAATCTGTATTCTGGTTAAAGTACTCTTAGTTTTTACTTGAGAAATATTTGCCAACTCTTCAAATCTTGTCGGGTGTCATCTTAGTTTCCTCTGAGATTTGGACAGCGATATACGTTTACCCATGGTATTCATGTCTGGTTATGCTCTAATTTTATTGTGAACTTTCTGTAGTAGGACGGAGTACATGATATTGCGAGTTTTATGGAGTTATTTTGTTGCTTTGGCTTAATGAATGTGTTCACATTTCTAACGATCACATTCATAAGTTAAATTTATCATGTTTATCTGTCTCTAAGATGAATCTTTCTGTTCGCTAGCAATAGTCATGTAGTCCATCGATTGTGTCACAACAAGCATAAAAAGCGGTGATTATTTTTTTTAACAAGGGAGTCACTGGGAATTACACTGTTTCTTTTGCTTTACAGGCATAAGCAAGTAATGTTGGAAGCTTATGATCAACAATGTGATGAAGCAACAAGAATATTTGCTGAGTATCACAAAAGGTTGCAAGTCTACGTTAACCAAGCAAGGGATGCTCAACGGTCAAGTGTTGATTCTTCTAGTGAAGTATCGAGCAGCCTCAGCACTAACAGTGAGAGGGAAGCTGTTTATTCCAGTGTTAAAGGAAGTAAGTCCATAGATGATGTCATTCTCATTGAAACAGCCCGAGAACGAAATGTCAGGAAAGCTTGTGAATCACTGGCCTCATATATGATTGAAAGAATATGCAACTCCTTCCCCGCTTACGAAGGAAATGGAATTCATTCGCATCCTGAGCTTGAAGCTACGAAATTGGGCTTCGAATATGATGGAGAAATATCTGATGAAACAAAGATTGTTATTGCGAATTGCCTGAGGAGTCCTCCTCTACTGCTCCAGGCTATTGCTGCATATACCTTACGCCTAAAGACCCTGATATCCAGAGAAATGGAGAAGATTGATGTCAGAGCAGATGCTGAAACATTAAGGTGTCTCTCTAGTCTCTAGTTTCCTTCTTATGCCCCTCTGTTGTTGTTCCTTTCTGCTTCTGCTTGTGTAATTCATTTGAATGCACCATGCATGTTTTTTCCATTCTTTTTTTCGATGCACATCAGATTTGTGTAATCAATCACCGATGTTGGTAGTTTTTTCATTTGAGCTCTTTGACAATTAGATTCCATTTTTATGTGTCTGATCTGATAGACATGAGTTGGTATACAGGTATAAGTACGAGAACAATCGGGTAACAAACATTTCTTCTTCTGATGTGAGCTCACCGTTAAGTTATCAATTCAACGGTAATGGGAAGATAGGCTCGGATACTCATTCCGAAGGATCTAATAACCAGCTCCTTGAAAGACAGGTCAATTTCCTTATCTGGTCAATACTGGTTTTTCTTGTGAATTTATACACATAATTTTGACAAAGAAGGTCAAGCTTTAAAATGTTTTGGCCCAAACAGACTTTTTTGGGTTTTTTGTGTTCTGCCGCTGTAGTTTCACGTGGTATATGCTATTGCCATGAGTTAGCGTTCCATTTAACCAAACTTGCATGCTTCCGTTTCCAGAAAGCACATGTTCAACAATTTCTTGCTACTGAAGATGCACTAAACAAAGCTGTTGAAGCAAGGGACTTGAGTCAGAAACTTCTAAAGCGTTTGTATGGGAGAGCTGACACAGTTTCTTCAATTTCACTTTCTGGAGGTACATCACAGAACGTTGGCAATCTTAAACAGTTTGAGGTAACTTCCCGAACTTAATCAGTTTCCTTGATTCTGTCCTTTTACTTTAACATTAATCTTCACCAATTATCTATAATAATTTTCTCTCAAGTTCGTTCCTTTGAGAGATGATGCTGTTAAAACAGGCAATATCAGGCTTAACATGTTAATCATGTTACCAAAGTTGTCTGCATCTCGACTGATGCTCAGTTATCATGACCATTCGATTTAGGCTTTGTAGACATGGTGATATATACAATTGACCAAGCTATCTTATTTTGTCTCTTGTAGTTGGAGGTTTGGGGCAAGGAGAGAGAAGCTGCTGGATTGAGGGCTAGCTTAAACACATTGATGTCTGAAATACAACGGCTTAATAAACTATGTGCCGAAAGGAAGGAAGCAGAAGATTCTCTGAAAAAGAAGTGGAAGAAAATTGAAGAGTTTGATGCTCGCAGATCGGAACTCGAGACCATATATACTACTCTTCTGAAAGCCAACATGGTAATCTTCAATCTTGTTTTGTGTTTTAATTAAATCTAATGATTATAGTTGACAAAAATCTCCATCGTGACTTAATTTTCGCTTAGGATGCTACTGCATTCTGGAATCAGCAACCACTAACTGCAAGGGAGTATGCAACAGCTACGATAATACCAGCTTGTGAGGTTGTTGCGGACATTTCACACAGTGCTAGAGATTTCATCGAGAAAGAAGTTTCTGCTTTCTTCCGAAGTCCTGATAACACCCTCTATATGCTTCCAGCAACCCCACAGGTTTGTAAGATAAAAAATGGTATTAGCTGTATTTTGTCTCTCTATATCATTGTGCATTTACATGCGTTGGCAATTAAATTGTTGAGATATATTTGGGCAAGGAACTGGGTTACATTTGTATTTGGTAGAAAAATACTGAAACAAAGCATGTCGTATGTAGGAAATCATTGGTAATTATTTAGGAGGGATATTTTGCTTTACAAGTAAAAACAATCTTGGACTGTAGCATTTGTTGTCTCATAGGTCAGGGTCAGTGAGCATGTTTGTTGGTTGCAAAGGTTCAACGGAATTCATGATCACAGGACTTTCTGTTTTTATCGAAATTACATGTAGAATTGTAGATGCCTCAGTTCTATTCATTTATTTTGAACGTTTTCTTAATCAGGCACTTCTGGAGTCTATGGGTGCTAATGGATCTACCGGACCTGAAGCTCTTGCCTCTGCAGAGAAGAATGCTGCTTTGTTGACAGCAAGAGCTGGTGCAAGAGATCCATCAGCAATTTCATCTATCTGTCGCATCTCTGCAGCCCTTCAATATCCTGCGGGTGAGTTTTTCTTTTTTCAGTTTGGCCGATGAGTTGTGAATTCTTGTTGGATGGTACGATGAACAATAGAAATTGTTGATTACCAAACTGCATGGAGCTTCTCGAAATTAGAGAGCCATAGAGCTGTTTCTAAAACAATGCGTTACAAAACCAAACCAGACCAAGAAGTCAAGATCTTTTTTTTTTCCCATTGGAGATTCTGCTTGCATAGGTTAGTAGGACAAGATGTGAGACCCTAATAGTTTAACACTGTCCATGGGCTACATAATACTGGTCTCATCCAACATCTGCACTCTTGAGTCTTGACCAGCTGCTGATCTCCACAGGATTAATTGTGTAAATGATTGATTACGAGGAAAATAAAGCTCGCTTATGTAAATTTGCTAGAAATTGCAATAGCTGAAAGTGATGAATGCAATTGACGTGGATTCTTTGTAGGAGTTGTTATATTTGACATTTGTTGCTGCTGAAACAGGACTGGAAGGTTCAGATGCAAGTTTGGCATCAGTTTTAGAGTCCCTTGAGTTCTGCCTGAAGCTTCGTGGTTCCGAGGCATGTATTATGGAAGATTTAGCGAAAGCAATCAATTTGGTCCATACAAGGCAGGATCTTGTTGGAAGTGGCCATGCTTTGTTAAACCATGCATACCATGTCCAGCAAGAATACGAAAGGTAAAGCATGCCCCACTGTATTCCTTTATACAGGCTGTTCCATTACCTTCTCTAGACATGTCATTTTTTCCTGTCTTATCTACGACCTCTTTAATTTCCTTCTGATGCATTCTTTTCGTTTAAAACTCAATGCAGGACAACTAAATATTGCCTAGATCTGGCTGCTGAACAAGATAAAATAATAACGGAGAATTGGTTGCCAGAACTTACGTCTGCGATCCTAAATGCTCAAGCGTCCTTGGAACACTGCAAATACGTGAGGGGTCTGGTAGGGAACTACTTAAACTATATGCTGTATATTTCACTTTCACAACACAACGATGTCCTTTTAATCCGGATCAAGTAATCTCTGCTTTATGACATGTTTGATGGGTTTGGATATAGTCACATGGAACTGATTGGTATTATAATAAGCCTAGGTGTGTGTATATATATATATATATATATATACACACATACACCTTTCACTATCAGTCTGATATTCTTAGTTTATATTTCTTCTTGGTCAATTACTCATCCATACCATATATTGAGAGGCGCAAGACCTAGTTGACTATGTCGAAGATTCTTGGTGAGACTCGGGTCCCTCTCACAATCTGTCAATAGCTTGGAGAATAAGCAGTGAATCTTGTGTTTACTTGATATGGTCGGAAAGTTCATGCTCTTTACCTGGATATACTGTGGAGATAATGTACTTGCTCTCGTATCGTTTTCCTGTTGAAGCTTGTTAACATATTTTTGCAATGCAATGCAGCTGGGTGAATGGTGGGAACAACCTGCTGCAACTGTCGTTGACTGGATCACCATAGATGGGCAAAACGTCGCTACTTGGCATAATCATGTGAAACAGCTTCTCGCCTTTTACGACAAGGAATCGTTGTAGAGAACACTCATCAGCCACATGGAAAGTAAAAAAGTCGCTCCGATTCACGGGAACTGTAAGCATTTTGCTCTCCGAATCTGCTACCAAAAACCCTCCCGAGACAGAGATGTGTGAGCAGAGTTTCTATAGAGATTTTTAATCGGAATCTGTGTTTATTTTCCCGGGGAAAGACTCTCTTCATACCACGGAGCTCGGTGTGAAAACTCAAAGCAAATGCAGATGCAACAGCAAGCTTGAGGTACAATTGTATATAGATACAAGACTCTTCTCTATTTATTAACCCATCTCTGACTCTGTGTGTGTTCATAGGTGTTGGCCAATTGGAATTACGTTTTTGGGTTTAGCGTTTGTTGCTCCGTTCTTGCTGATCTTATGATCAAAACTCCGTTTTTTATTATCTTTTTTTTAGTGTGTTTAAGCCATTGAATGCTGGATCGGGTTTCGGGTAAACCGGCTTCCTCGACCGTTGTTTGCTCACAAGTTAATGGATGCCGTCTCTATGTTTTTGTTTTCGAGTACTTGTGATTGTATAAGTAGAGACAAATCTCTCTCTGAAGTAAAGGACACTAACTAACTATAAAGTTTGGTGACTATTACAACAGTCGATAGATGAAACATGCAAAAGCTTGTCCAAATGAGACTTGTGTTTATGCAGAGGGTTAAGTCAAAACCAAAATCATATATATACATATATATATTGAAAAGGCTTTACCAAATAAACAAACAAATAAACTATCCCCTTGATTGAATATGAGTATCAAGATACATACCATTTATTTGGCATATTCCCTGTTTATTTGTTGCAAAATGAAAATGGAGATGAATGTCATGGTTAAGAACAAAGTTTTCTACTTTCCTTGATCGGCTACTCTGTTCTTGATTCTGCATTTGGGAAGAAATATGGTAAACCAACTAAATACGAGAAGAATACATTACAGATGAAGACAGATACTATTAAGCAGCAAGAGTCACACCTCTCCATTATGGACAATGGAAGAAGCTTTGTATCTCAAATGCAAACACTTGCTACCTTTTTTTCTCTTTTCTATAAGCCTTAATCCAACCGGAAAAACGCAATGAACAGATATTTACAACCGATCTGAACCTATAGATAATTCCTCGGTGCCTCGGGAAAAATATGACCTACCTCGCAGAAGAAACAAAACGATCTAAAGAGATGGGGGAAAAAGGAAAGAAGGTGGTTTATTGTCTTATCCTCTTCTGGGCATGTTTAGATTCTTCATAGAAGCTTTTGGTTTCAGCTTGCGAACCCATTTCTCTGTCTCGGTTTCCATTAGCACTGTCCTAAAAAAGAGGTAAAAAAAAAGAACACAGAAGTATCATCTTACAAGATGATCGAAATGTCTCCTATAGATATTGTTTGCTTATCTATTTGTATCTTTTTTTTCCCGGTAGAGAAGTTACAAACATACCACAGAAGCAGAAGCCTCGGGATCTGAACTTTTCGCAAGACTAAGCTGCACAGATATCATGGTCTCTGACAGATTCACACTCGATGATTTAAGTGCTTCTGTTAGAGTGCTTAGTACCCTGGTCAAGATCGAAACAAGTGAGCTGCAATGAAATTTTCACGTTGAGATGTAAACTTCAGTCAGTTTTAGTAGCAAGAATCTTGTGTTTTCACACCCAACAATACAACAGTAGTGACTTAACCCCAAGTTTAGAAGGCGCCCCAACATTTATATCATAAGAATGCAGTCCATGTGAGATATGACATTAGGTTTTACGTTGGTTGCCACCTATGCCTACCACAACCCTCCTCCTTTATTCAAGCTTGGGACCAGCTAAACATGAGCGAACTCAATGCCGAGCAGAATTTTTTCACACCTAACAATCTCGCTACAAATTTAGGGATAAACGAAAGCAATGCCAACCATATTAGCCTTGATTTACCCGAAAGAGATCTTGGACTACGCTTTATGACGTGCCTAATCCAATTGAATTCCCTAGTTTGCACTGTTTTCCCCATTCCAACCTATCATTCTATACTACAGAACTTCAATCATAGCCAAAGCAAAAACAAAAGGCTCTGAGGCAGCTCGATATCTCACTAGAACCTTATATTCTATCCACCTTCGATATGCTCTCACAGCAACTGAAAAACAACCAGAGCTAGCAAGAGATTATTTAATAACGGGCTAAAGCATTTTTCGCTGACACTTGTGTTACATTCTTACCCTTGAGAATAGGCTTTGGACAACCCGACTGAAGTTTTATCCTTCGAGTTAGAAGGTTCGCTCATACTGCAAACAGCTGATCCACTGCTATGTCTTACTTGGCATGAATCTTGCTGAACAAACTGCAATGAAGGATCGGCAGGCACATAATATGGAACTCCTGAAGTAGGATTCTGATTGAGAGACCTGAACACAGCCGTTGAGTCGACATCAGCATCCAGAGAATTTTGCATATCAGCGAGCATTTCTGGAGGAGCAACACCCTTCTCATGACTTGACCAGCTTTTGATGCTTTGAGAATGATCACTGACATCTTCAGCAGGTCTGTGATTATTTCTCTGCATACATGAATGAAACACCACTAAAAAACCTTCCACAGGAAAATAAGATGAAATTATTATAACTGAGATCTTATGGAATGTGAAAACAAATCGCCATGTCATCTTTCTTCCCCGCATAACAGAGACAGAAAACGTACCAGACAACTACAACATAACAAAGAAAGAAAAAATGCACTGCCTTTGTAACAGTGATACATATGAAGTGAGATTTTCTTCTTTTTTTTTTCTGTGAATGACCATTTCAATTGAAAACAGAGTCATCGGTGAAATGATAAGCCAAGCAGGGAACCAAATGCCCATGGGAAAGGCATAAAACAACAAAAGTAAAAAAATTTACCCATGGAATCAATTTTGTTGGGCCTTGATTCCACATTTGCTGAGAACTCTCATGCATTTGTAGCTTTTCCTGAAGAAATCGGATATACTCTATTACCTGTGATGTGTAAGGCAACAAGAAGTCAATTCTAGACTTAAACAAGTTTGTTTCAGTCAAACTGATACAAGGTCTATGCATCTTCCATCGGCATACCTCCAAAAGGAAGGAAGCTTTATCTCGTTTCTGATCATTTTGAGGTATGAGATCCATCAAAGTTTGAAACCTGTATTCAAAATATAAACAACCTCATGGGTGTGAAAACTCTTTCCAAAATGGCCCAGTCACAAGCACCAACGTCAAAATCAGGACATGACAGAACACTCAAACAAGCATCAAAGAAAGGAAAAATTATGACATTCACAAAGGGGAAATAGATGACGCAAATCGAATAAACACGTTAAAAAAACCTAACCTTTCGTTGATTTTGCTTCTTCTCCTTTGCTCCGTCTCTGAATGCTTCGACCTGTACGTGCTGGTCTTTCGTTTCGTCACCTCCCCTGCAATTTACAGACAAATTTGTATGAGGAACATAAACTCCTGCGGGAAAATTACACGCAGCCGAAAACTGATAGTTTTTTTGTCAGAAAACTGATACATTTCGACACCAACCTTCAGAAGAATTGTTACGAGAAGGTAAGTTATCGTACACATAGACATCCTCTTGTTCCCCGAGGTCCGGAGACTTCATCGCTTGAGCAAAGAAGCTATCCAAAGCTAGAAGATTCCTTCGCCTGTGATGAGACAGCTGATGAAGATGCTCGATGGAACTCCGGCAAACGCGCGGAGATGGAGAGGGAGAGAGAGAGAGATTTTCCTAGATTTTGCGTTTAGAAGAGAGAGAAAAGAAAGCCCTCGATGAAAAAGGGTAATTTTATCGTCAACAAGAAGATTTTATTATCAATTATTGAAACGACCCCAATATTCATCCTTATTTACATTTCGGACACAAATCTTCTATAATTCACATATACTCCCCAAGTTTCTCGAATGAGCTATTGGCCGTCGATATTGAGATGAGGTGAAACACCATAAGCATACAAATAAATAATATTTTGAATAAAGCCAATATCTCACTGCCAAACCCGCGAAATTCGAGTGTCCTTTCCTTGTGCGATCGGGAAAGGGCATCTGAATTTTATATTTTGATCAAAATTTAGAGTTGATAAAACTAATGATTTTAAGATTTTTTATAAATGTGATGCATTTATATAGAATTATATATAATAATAATAATAATAATAATGATGATGATGATGATTGTTGCGTCTAAACTAATTAAAAATTAGCAACGGGAGAAGTCAAATTCGGATTCCTCCATATGTATTTTAAATGGATGGTTTTATTTAGTTTAGCACATAAAAAGCTAGTTTCCAAAAGTCTGCAGGGAAAAAAATGATTTTTCAAATACCTTTAACCATGCTAAAATTTATATTTTTAGATAAAATATTAGATAAAATTTGAGTATGAATTGCAAACAGATTGTAAAAATTAGATTTTTAGGTTCAAAAGATAAAATATTATCATATTCATAGCTTTAAAATCAGAAATGATAACAACGTGAACGTTTGGGTATACATGGTTCAATATTTTTATCTTTTAATCAGAGGGGTTCGAATAAAAACATGAACGAGATTAGTGTGAATATATAAGGTTTAAAAGTGTCCATTCATAATTGATTGGAAGTAATGTCCAAATGGAATCTATTTGTTCATTCATGTCTAATTAATTACTTACTTCATTTCGATATGGAAGATTTTACCAAGCCATTCACATTCACACTTGGCAAAACCCATCTCTTCTTCTTTCTCCTTCATTTGTTATCTTTTAGCTGGAGTGCCGTCCGGATTTGTCTAATGCCTCCTAGTCAGAGCCAACAACGACAACCGTGACGTGAGAGTATATAACCGGTTCCAGCTCCATGATCTGAAGCTACGTTTCCCCGAATTTGTATCGGAGAAATCGAAATCTTTTAACAGTCCCTCTTCTCTGTTTGGAGGGTACCCCTTGTGTCGATCATCACCTGTTTTCTTTCTGGGTGCAATCAATTCGATCGAAATCCGAGGAAATATCGTCTGGGTTTGAGAAAAGTTTCGATTTTACGAACTGGGTTTGGGTTAAATTGAAGCCCCTCTGATCTTCATCCTGTATGTACTTCTGCAAGAAAAATCAGTTGATTCCTAGCCCAATATCTGCTACTTTTTGTCGATTTTTGTCTGATTCTGCTCGTGCGGAGAAAAGATATTCGAATATATAAGAATCTCATATATCGAGTCAAGTCAATCGATTTTTTGAGGTGGGTGTCATTCATTCACGTTTGCATTCTCTGTTCAATCATTGCTGGAATTTGTCTTGCATGTTACATAATCTCCTTTTTTTCTTCTATTTTTTTAATAGACTCCGCATCACATCCCTACACTCATCAGCCATATGGAA